ACATAAAAGTGCCGAAATAGACACATCTTAAATATGACGACCTCTATCGTGATTTCAACTGGTGGGCGGAGTAGCACATGGACATAATTTGATCGACAAAGGATTTTACAATGATCAATAATACATACTCTTTATAGCATCCCCTACGACTATTTTGAGGTGTTACAAACTGTTTGGCAAAGTAAATTTCAGGTGAACAAAACTAAATCGAATTCAAAATTCCTAATTCACAATAGTAATAATTGAGTTATTGAGATGGTCTGTCAGAAATTCTGACTTATATGACATACTTTTCCGACGTATACTACATACGTCGAAAAAGTCGTAAACCTAGTCAAATAATAGAGTTTTTGACAGAAACGTGGTGTTTGAATACAAAGACAAATAATAAGATGGCACATTTCATTGTTGCTTCGATTTAATAGATGGCGTTGGTAGTGGAAAAATATGTTTTGACATCATATCGTAACATAGCATTATGTTATAATGTAACATAGCGGACACCTTTTGAGTCCATATCTATCACATCGTTGCTTTTCTCCGCAGTTTACCGCCATTTTTTAAATATCAGATAAAATATTTCTGCAAATTTCTAACGCATTTTGCCTTTGTCGGCCATTTATTGCCTGCTCGAGACATTAAAAGACAATATGTATTTTGCCCAATCTTTATAGTTTTATATCTTTGGAACAAAACTCCAACCTCAGGTTTTAAGCTCTCTGCTGTAACTTTACTAGAAAGACTAACACAATGAAACTATCCTCAAAATATCCTTTTATTAACCAACTTGGGATGTATTATGTGGGATATGACTTTATGTGAATTTTAGAAGTTTATGACTTTTATGAAGTTTTATACTTTTTCTACGTTTTATACAGTATGTGGCGTTAACATCTTTTCCACAGTCGAAAACCTAAAAAACTTTCAAGCTGACCATCTCTGGTTATTACATGTGGCTGTTGTAAACCGATGACATATTATTTTTGACAGATGTGCTACACCTATTAAGTTCAAATTGAGTCATGTGGTTGGAGAATGTGGTAGGAACATTTTAAAACATTGAAATGTTTATAAAATAACAAAAAGTAAGTGTCCATTTCTATTTAGAAATTACTACCGAAAATAATGGTGTATAATGACGCAATGTGGGAGTTATATAACATGTTGTCTTTATTTTTATGTCGCCATGTAGTCAAATCCCCCAGTTTAATTAAATTATATTTAGAATGATGCGCAATTACGTTATTTTGGCCGAACATGAAATTTATGTATTTGAACCATCGTATTTTCATATGGTCCGCGGTTTATCTTTTCCTACCCTGATGTAGTATCTTAATATCTCTTTGACAACAATTTTTTTGACATCTTACCTTAGCTACAATATACATGTATTTAATTAAATTAAATTAGAAGACTTTTTTCTTTGAAATCAGTGTGCAGATTGTAATCCAATATTTCGCAATTGTATAAATGGATTCTGGACAAATGTGGATTGATTGAAAAAATCGAAATTTAAATTAAAGAAAATAGAATTCGACTTCAAGTTAAAATCCTTTGTATTTTACCTAATTTGGTAATTTATTATATAATAAATACTAGCTGACCCAGTCTGCGTTGCCGGTCCGTAGTTTTAGTCTTTAATGCATAGTTTTTAAAGCATAATAATTCACAAATCTGGCTCACATAGGTGGCACAACTTTTAGTGTAATTGATGACTCGATTAAATAGAAATAAATACCTCTTTCAAAAAACCTGATCTTATTTTTCAGTAAGAGGTTTTAGTTTATTAAAAAGTATACATTAACTGTTTATAATATGCCCATGTAAGATGGTTCTCTACCCCCACAGGCCGCAATCAGTTGAATACCGAATATGAAGAGGCACTGTAATATGCGGACTACACAAAATAGTGGAGTAAATTGAAAATATAGTAAGAACAGGATTCATGTACTCGGAAACCTTAAAAGGAACCTTAAATCATAGGTAACGTTATACGGGCACTATGCGCTATCGTCAGTAATTACACTGCGCCGCAGACAACCTTGGGGTTAGGAAATTTTTCGGTTGGTAAATAAAAATCCCAAAAGAGGGGTTCCCGGATCTATCTTTTTATAGTCCATTTTGTATAGCTTAACCATACACAAAGGGCCGCAAATATTTTTCCCTATACTCCGCAAAAGTTACGATAAAGTTTTAAATTTGATATAGTCCTAGGGATTACATGAGGAATCCTTTGTACAAAATATGTATCAGGTTGGTCTACATTGTGATATAGCACCCCTCAAATGATATAGCCCCTTTCAAATTCCTCAAATATAAGTATCAAATTATAAATATAGGACCATGCTTCATTATAACTCGTATTTGAAGGTATCCGGTGATTTTAGCTATAAGCAGGATCTTGGTCACATTTTCCAATTGATTTTGCCTTAATTTGGCATCTAGCTTCTGGTAGAAGACCTCTTCGCTGAAATTGTTCAATGTCAATGTTTCGCAGTAGCGCTCATTAAAAACTACCTCCTGATTTTACCCATTTCGAGGGTTTTGATTATATTTTCGAATCGATTTGAACTAAAATGTGTGTTTAGGCTACTTTGAAGGTAGAGAACCATCTTACATAGGCTCATGAAAAACTACCTCCTGATTTTACCTATTTCGAGGGTTTTGATTATATTTTCTAATCGATTTGTGACCTAAAATGTGTGTTTAGGCTACTTTGGGGGTAGAGAACCATTTTACATGGGCCTATTATAAACAGTTAATGTGTACTTCTTAATACATATGCTATATTATTATGGTTTTTAACTCTCAAACTAAAACGGGCAAGCAACGCGGACTGGGCCAGTTAGTATAGCATATATATATATCAAAAAGTATACATTAACTGTTTATAATATGCCCATGTCAGATGGTTCTCTACTCATTTGGGTATGGCAACAATATAACAGCGTGTATAGAAAATATGCAAACTTTCTCGATTTTCTTCAATTAGAATTTTCAATCCCAAAAGGTATTCTGAAACAATTCTACACAAAATTCCATATCATAATATAACATTCAATTTTTTTCAGTTTCGCGATTTGTCTTAATATTTTCTTTCATGACAACGTTTCCACTGTAATTACAAATAACCAAAATTAGAGTCATATCGGCCCAGCCGTTCTAAACTGATATGTTACTACACTTTTTCAATTTTTTTACATATAAATTTAAAGAAGAAGGTGTGGCCAGTTCCTCTGACCCCAAATAGATAACTGATTCAATTACCAACGAACAACAATTGGTTTATATACAAATTAAAAAGTAGGCGTGGTCAGTTCCTCTGCCCCAAATAAATACTTAGGATTAGAGGTAAAGTCTACAGTATGTCGTGTAATAATTTTAAAACCGATATCTTCATTATTTGTCAAATATCAGGATTTAGATATACAGTTGCGGTCAGAAAAAAAGCAGCGCACCCTATCTTCAATAATACATGCTTGGATTTTATAAGTACGTTAATGCTAAGTAAAACGAGTAATAATTTTGGTATGGTTTTTAATCAACTTATTAATGCATACTTATATAATGCAGTCTCTAATTATTCTTAACCTATCGAATATGGAAATATGCAAATTGGTGTGATTTTTTAAAAATAAAAAGTTTTTTTTTTATCAGAAGGGAAATCGTATAAAGAAATACTAACTTTGTTGAATTGTTCTGCCAAAATGATTAGAAACGCATTAATATATGAAAAGAAAATCGAAACTATAGGTAAAAAGTATGTATTGTCAGAAAAAACCAGACGAATGATAAAAAACGCTAGCACCAAAAATCCGTTAGTGCCCACCACAGAAATTAGAGACAGTTTTTGTCCTTCTGTTAGTGCAGTAGCAGAGTATTACGCGAAAACAAGCTGTATTCACGGAGTCCGAGAAAGGAGCCACTATAAAAACTATAAAAATACACGTCACAAAGCGATTGCAGTTTGCAAAATCACATGTTGAATGGCCAATTGAAAAATAGAGAAACATACTATGGTCGGATGAGTCCAAAATTGTTTTTATGGTGGTACTGGGTCCCGACAGTATATAAGACGTCCACAGAATAAAGAATATGATCCCCGATATACCACTAAAACGATCCAACATGGTGGATCAAATGTGATGGTTTGGGCATGTTTCTCGTACAATGGAGTAGTGCCAATATTTTGGATCAAAAACAAAATGAATGCCTCTCGATACGTTGAAATACTGCAAAATGTTACGCTTACATATGCGCAATATGAAATGCCTTTAAAATGGACATATCAACATAATAATGATCCAAAACACACCAGCCGCTTAGCAAATCAGTGGTTTCAGGACAGCAAGATAGATCTCATAGAATGGTCCGCTCAGTCACCTCTAAAGGAGGTGGCCATAGCTAAACCCAAAAATAATAATGAAGTATGGAGCGCAATTCAAGGAGCCTGGCTAAAAATTCCATGCGAAAGATGCCAAAATTTGGCCAATTCAATGAAACATCGCTGTGAATCAGTGATACGCAACAAAGTATTCATTTCTAGGGTATAATACACTTTACGTGAAAAATATGGCTACAGTTGAATATAAGGACATTAAATGAATTAATGTAAAGTTTTTATTAAAACTGCTATCTTTTTTTTTTTTTTTTGATCGACTTCATTCCGGAAATAAACTCTATTTAACACAATATTTTGAAAAACCAAAATTTTTCTTTTTAATTATTATGTAAATAATGAATTATAATACCATTAAATATCGCATAGATCATATCGCTCTTTCAAAGAAAAAAGTTGGGTTTCTTAAGTAGGAGTATTTCAATGCATTGTGCTGCTATTTATGCATTGTGCTGCTATATATATATATATATATATATATATATATATATATATATATATATATATATATATATATATATATATATATATAATACTAATTTGGTAACATTGTCGGTCTTGTAAGTTAAAGTAACAAATAATTCGAAGTTCTTCTAGTTACCCGTAACTGTTGTCTTACTAATTTCAAGCCATAAGTTTTTAGGCACTTAATTTGAATTTAATTTAAACCGATCACTTGAGTTTATGTACGAGACTATTTAAACCGCACGGAACATGACTTGTGACTGATTCAAATGCCACCTTAGTACAAGTGTTTTGTATCTTGTTCATTACTCAGAGCGCTCAAAAATACAATTTTGCTTCTCTACGTACTCTTAAAACACTGAGTCAATTCTCTTAAGCATTGTCTTCTGCCACAATGAATTGGTTTCATCAATGGGCGTGTTCAAAACTGGTTTAAGAGACAAAGCCGATAGTATCCCGCTAGCAATGAAAATTCCAATTAACTAAATTTCGTCAGTCTTGTACTAGTTATAAGCCGTACTAGTACCAAATGTGTCCCAAAGTAATGCGAATGGAACCAATTGACACCTTTTCGTCCCCAAGTAAACGAAGAGGCGACAGTTGTGCATAAATAAAAAACCACCACCAAAAAACCAACCAACAGACAAGTTAAACGAACATTTGAATGAGATCTCTACGAACAAGAATCACTTTGAATAGTTAGGGGTTAGTCTTTTGTCTCTGGTATATGACTGTAAACCTGGAACTAGTACAATACCATCTACAGGTAATGCAAAAGGAGTCAATTGGTTACCTCGTATGACATCCCCATGTTAAAGTTTACAGTTGTTTGCACTGTGAGGGGTCTTAAGTGGAACTAGTTACAGTAATCCTAAGAATCGACGAGTATACGGTGCCGAACTAGTCCACATTGCTAGCGGGATATCAGTGAAAAAAAAAACATATTTATTCTATATGTGTGGTACATATTTGTTGTTTGCTTCTTTCACCGTTAATATCATTAATTTAGCGGACGGTTAATGTTTCAAAAAACCATTGCAATGACAGTTAAATAATGTATATATGCAAACAAGCTTATTATTTATATTGTTCTGCTTTGAGATTTAAATATATAAAGGTACCCAATGTTAAATAAAAGTGTTTCATATGCTACTGGTTCACAAAAATCGTCAATTCATAAAGACACGCCACTTTATTTCTTTCATCATTTGATTTTACAAACCGCAAGTCTGAGATTAAAAGGAATTCAGCTGGTAACGTAAGATGGAGGACATAAATATTTTGTCATTCCTTAGGATACATATTCAAGTTATCCACCTTGTTTTGCAATGTAGATGGAGTCCATATTATTTTGTGCAGAGCTTCTAGATTTGGTGCACCGGTTTGTATTAAGTCTAGGATGATTAGTATCGATCCACTGTTAAGTATAGACCATAGTTGTCGATATTTAGAAGATTTCAACCACAATTTCTAAAGAAGTTAAATGCTATTAGGTATTAAGTAGAATGAATGAAGTATGAATTTCCACAATCAGTATTATTGTCCTTTTTTTAATGAACATATATTATGATCAAATATGTAAAAATGTCAAAATATCAATCGTTACAAAAGTTATTAATACGTTGTCTCGCGATGTAATAAGTATGTCTCCACTTTTGTTTGCATGAAAATACTGATCATATGGTGTTTACAGTTACCAAACATGTAGCAAATTTTAATATTAGTGGAGTGGGAAAAATTGTATAAAAGTGTGTATTATTGTTGTTTGATTATGAAGGTTCTGCTGAGGTTTGCTGAGTTACATATTATTTACCATTTTTGGTACCAACCTCACTAGGAAAAACATGATATCTTGCGGAAATGGGTTGAAGTAAGAAATCGAAATAGGTCATATGTTACGTCTTCACTTATAAAATTTTTTGGGGACAGAATGGTAGTGCGAATTACCGGTAAAGCGCAAACAAAACTTATGCGCAATTATATAAGATAGCCTAAAATTGTAAAAAATATTGTCGTAACAGGCAAACGTAGACACAGATTTAACAGATTAGTTCGATACGGTGCATTTAATTTAGATATTGCAAGTTTGAAGGATATTTTTATTTTACAAAGTATTTAGAAAATTATTATTATTATCTCGACACCTCATAAATCTACAATTATATTGTAAATTTCAGCCAGAACCAAACACCGATGAATTGGTGGACTTGTATACTTTACTTTGGCGGATGTGATAACAACATTTTAAAACACGCAAAGTTTGGCTGGGCAGAACATTTAATACCTTTCCCAACAGTTGAAGAAAACTTTAAAAAACGAGCTTCATTTTAAACTGCAACTCCCAGCATACTCGGTTGGAGAGTTTATTAAAATCTTCAAATATTGTATTGGGGCGGCAATTTTAAATTACGAAATACCAAACCTTGAACTACTTTCTGCTATAGAGGTTTAAAGAACTACATTTGAAACAATTATATTGAAAATGTTTTAAAAAATCATGAAAATTCCCGGTATCGGGAATGGGAAATAAAGAAAAGCGTGGACCTATATCCACAGTGTTCTGTCACCACACTGTGAGAATTAAAAAAAAATGGGTTAGAAAAAATATTGAAATCATAAGAATACCGAAGATCGGGAGGTATCCTTATATGAGGGCTATGAGCCTATGTAGTCAATTGTTTGTTACGATGGTTGGTATAATATATAATTAAATAAATATATAATTTGAAAAAATATATATAAGGCGATACAAAAAATGCCAACAAATAAAAATATAGCATTTTCAGATTAAATGAAACCTGCACTTAAAGGAAATCTTTTGCAGCCGAAATGAAACTTTTTGCAGCGGAAATGAAACATTTTGAAGTGGAAATGAAACCTTTTGCCTTTGAAGTGAATCATTTTGCAACCGAAATGAAACTTTTTGCAAATCAAATGAGACTTTTAGATTTATAGAAAGAAACATAACAAAATATTTTTATTTTTAGTAGGTTTATAATTAAATCATTATTACTAGTATATAGGTAAAGAGGAATTTTTATTGATTATTAATATCTATATTTTTATAATATTATTTCTTAAATTTTCAGTGTATCACACGATGCCATAAAACGCAGAAAAATTAAAAATGTTTTTTCAAGGTCTTTCTCCAAAAGACCCGAGTTAGATACTTTTTTAAACCTCCACCATGGAAAGGAGGGTATATTAAATTTGTCGTTCCGTTTGTAACACCTCTAAATATTCGTCGTAGAACAATTATGATCTAAGTTTATTTAATAATGTCCCCCTGCCTGCTGTAATTACGATATTAATGTGAAATTTGATGTAGAGATTTTAAATTTGACACAATTTTGTATTGTGTCTAGGATGTTTGGTATTGAAAATGATACCGGGATGCTTCAACAAGTCCTTATATTGTGCATATAAAGCGAACCAATCATTGTGTATATAAAGCGAGCCACTCAATAGCCCACATAACAAGACTGCTCTATCTCTATATTGGATCTAATGTTAAAAATTAAACAAGTTGCAGGAATCCTTTAGGTAATATTAATAGTATCTTATACCCATAAAACATTATAGTAATGTTTAATGTTACATTTCAGCCCTGCCCATACAATTTATAGTAATAGGGCAAAAATTATTTCAATTTGTTAAGAATATTTAACATGGAAATATTTTATGCCAAAGAAAAGAACAATTTTTCATTACAATTATTGAAAATTTAAGAAATAATTTTATAAAAATATAGAAATTAATAATCAATAAAAACTCCTCTTAAACTATATATTAGTAATAATTAGTTGATTTAATTTTAAACCTACAAAAAATAAAAATGTTTTGTTATGTTTCTTTCTATAGATCCAAAAGTTTCATTTGATTTGCAAAAAGTTTCATTTCGGTTGCAAATTGTGCCGCTTACATAATTCAGATCCCCTTGACTTGATTTCTTGAGAATTGAAATTGAAGGCGGGTTATGCCAAAGAAAAGAACAATTTTTTATTACAATTATTGAAAATTTAAGAAATAATTTTATAAAAATATAGAAATTAATAATCAATAAAAACTCCTCTTAAACTATATATTAGTAATAATTAGTTGATTTAATTTTAAACCTACAAAAAATAAAAATGTTTTGTTATGTTTCTTTCTATAGATCTAAAAGTTTCATTTGATTTGCAAAAAGTTTCATTTCGGTTGCAAATTGTGCCGCTTACATAATTCAGATCCCCTTGACTTGATTTCTTGAGAACTGAAATTGAAGGCGGGTTACATGGAAGTGTAGTACCGAATTATGTGATGGCGAAACGGAATAGATGATATCGAAATAATTTAACGAGGTCACACCAAAGTTAAAAGATAATTACTTTTTCAAAATTATGAAAAAAAGATTGTACAAAATACTTTGTGCATACTTTTGAGTGCGGTTAAGGCGCTGGGAAAAATGTAGCAATAAACAATAAATATTCGGAAATTACATATTTCTCAGCCGCCATAAAATACCACATGTGAACAATTCGGTGATCTTGTGCGCTGACGCATACGATAATGTGTGAGATAATAAAGGTTATGACCCACACGCACAGATATCGATGCGCTCAGTAGATGCACAAGACCACTTGAATGAAATAACATGCAGCCCTGCAATGTTCTCCATTCAGTATTAGAATAGATAAGATTAATTGTGTGGCTGCGATTAGGTTAAGTTAGATTAGTTTTTGTAACACTTAAGAAACATATTTTTTAAATAAAAACGGAATTGAAAGAGCACCCTAACGAAGCGGTCGTGTTTCTTTTCTCACTAAATATTGCTCCAGTCGAGCCGAAAACGGAATAGAGTTGACAATGGAAGAGGGAGATTGGATTCTATTCTTATCATTAAAAACATAGATCCTCCGAGCAGGATCCAAAATAGAATTGAATCAACAACCAAATCATTCGGTTGGTTTTCTTTTCTTTTTTACAGAGATCGCATTGCAAAAATTCTCAAATCGGGAACAAATCGAAAAAAATTTCAATGGAATAGAATTTTAAAATAATAGTACTTTCTATTGACAAACATTACCATTAAACTTCTGCTGTAAAAAATCATCGAACAAGGTGAAGATTTTGTTCTTTTTTCAATTGTTTTTTTTTTTTTGTCAATTTTATATAATGTACGATTAAATTTTTAATGATTTTTCAATTTGGCTTATCATATTGAATTCAATGTAAACACAATAAAAAAATATTTTCACAACATAAAAGAAAGTTATGTTAGGAACTACGCTTGTAACTAAAGAACGGCTTGACGGATTTTGACAATTCATACAATTT